AAAAAAGACGATGATGCAGTTTCTGATCTTATTGGATTTTTGAAGGTGTGACTATGAAGTGAACAACTACTCTTTCTTCAGGAATATGCGGATCCTGCACGAAGCAACCTGACAATGCAAGGCTATTTTTCTATACCACTCTGTGAATTGAGATACCCCCAGTGACTTCCGTATGAAGCTGGTCACTTAAGCATGCGATCGTGATTGCCCACGATTCTTTCTATGGAGATCACCAACACTCTGAAAGGTCTCTGCACAAGTTGATTAACTTGTAAGCTCATATGTCTCATATGTCCTCGAACCACCTCCCAGCTTCCAGCTCTCAGCCGCCATGGCCCTCCGGGTGCCGCTCCACATGCCGCGGTCCGCTGTGCCCGCTGCCCTTCGTGTGCGCCTCTGCACCGCCGGGGTGCGCGGAAGCGGCGTTCGCTTCATCTCCAGCAGCAAGGCGCGGCATGGGCTTTGGTCCAACCGCCATATGTCAGGTTGGAGGTTTGGTGATGTTCAGTGGCTCACAGGACTCTCGACGATTCTTGTGTTGGAAAGATCCAACTGCACTGCCCCAAACCGATCGCACCGCTAACAAGCCTTGGCCATGCTGTGTGTTGCTCGCCAGGCTGAAGAGAAGAAGCGCCTGAAGGACCTGTGCCCGAAGCCATAAGCCAGCAGGAACTATGTACCTCTTGGGTTAGTCTCGTTGGCTTTGTAGGTTTGTTAAGGGTGATAACCTCAAAACGATGTTTGTGGTGCGGTAGGTGCAGCCATTTGAACACCACACACTCTTGCAGGAAGCTGATGTCCGAGAACCCTGGCATCAATCAATTGGCTTGGGAATTCTGGGTGTCGACGTGAAGTGACCAGATGGTTGAAGCAAAGGTCGTCTGCAAGAAGTTGGCACCAAGCAAGCAGCAAGAAACCGATCGTAACCGATCCATCATATTCCATTCAGTGAAGGATGTTTCGATGCTTGGCTTCATCTGTCATTCACTTAGGACCGGCCTTTCGCCGAGCGCGGCTTCCAGAATGCGCGCGACCGGCCGCGCGAGCGGCGCTATTGGCCTCCCAAGGCGAGCGGCTGCGTGGAAGCGAGGGCAATGTTCGGTGGGATTCGGTAGCTTCCAGCACAAGTACACACGAGATAAAGAAGGTTGTTTAGTTTAGGGGTACATGCATGTGGTAACGTGGAAGAGAATAACCAACCAACCAGCCAAGCAACTCTTCCAGCACCCTCGGCTGAATGGCCATCTTCACCGCCACTCTCTTTTCAGGAGGAGTCAATCGAGCTTCCAGGTGGCCGAAAGCAGGCGCCCGTCTGATGGGTTGGGGTCGACTGGCTAACGGTTGGGTAAAAGCTGTTGAGCTGAGGAGTGTGAACTTCCTGCCAAAGGGTTTGCTCCGAAGTAGCATGCGCTAGGCCTGATTTTGCAGGTGTATGCTTCCAGGACAGGTACTGTACCGTACCTAAAGCTTTTTCTTTAAAGGATGTTTATGTTCTGACGCTTCCGTATTCCAGGGAGTTCGGGCAGGTCCAGGTGGTGGCCTCCAAGCGTGACGTGGATGGATATTTGGAGGCAGGTCCGTTGGCCCCATTGTGTTTTGGTGACTTTCGAGACTTTGGACAGCGGAGAGTGACCAGGTGCTGGGGCAAGAGGTTCTTGGAAAAATGCATCTCAGTGTTGATGATCAAAAGAAGTCTTCAAACGCGCAGGACATTGTATGTGAATTGCAAATTCTAATTCTCACCTTTTAAATCCTTTTACTATGTTGGAAAGTGAATTTGTTTCTCAATCGCTTGCATTCGTTCCGATGTTCCTCACTGTCGGCTCACTGGTTTTCTACCCCAGTGGAAGAAAGGAGTGAGTCAGGATCCTACTGCTGGAACGAGGTTTTGGCGGTGCCAGTGAGATATGGGGGGTGTCTTGTGGCATTAAGTGCAGTCTCTCATGACTCCTGCATGGCTAGGGATTAGGGATTCCACCTGGCAGGCGCAGCTGGTCTTTATGACGCCTGACGGACATCGACTCTTCTATTTGAATGAAGAGGACTGGTGATGGGAGGACCAGATGCTAAGCAGGCAATTGCAGTAGTCCAATCTTAGAACGAAGTCTTGTTCAAAGCCTTAGTAGCCTTGATACAATGAGGCAGGACTGGTGGCCCCATAGAGATGCGACAAAAGACGTTTCCCATTTTCAGGAGCTGGATGAGTTGGTGAAGCTCGCCCCGCGATTGACGGAGTACATGGAGCTTTGGCAAGAGAAGGCCACGAATCTCAGATCTGACCCTGAGAGAAATCCAAATTCGATAGACAAGTGAACTCTTTTCTTTTCTTTTCTTCAAGCCCAATATTTACCTTTTCGACGTTTCCTCTGCCCCAGTCGACCATGGCAAGGCCTTGCTTTGACAGACCTCCAACCTTGTGACTCAGAGCTGCCCCTGTGACCTGGGTCACTGGGCCGACTCGCTCGGCCACACGAAGCTAATATTTGCACCCCCACCACCCACCCAAACACACACCCAAAGACAACTCATGACTACAGAGTCCATTGTGTTTGTAGATGTCTATAGACCATTGACCTCCCCCACCACCAGCCCACTCGTCCGGTGCTGTTTGGTTCGGCCGGTCCATCCTTCCCGGACCCTTCCCGCGAGGCCCAGGAGGCGAGCGACGCCGAGGCCGACGCGGCGACGCGGCGGACGCTCCGCGCGCTGGCGGAACGCTCCAGCGCCAGCGAGTGAGGGACGAAAAGGGCGGCCCGGGACGGCTGCAGCAGACATGGGTGTGTGGTGGACAATGGAGCTGCTGGGTGGTGGTGCGGTTGGGGTCCGAACATGAAGGAATGCTACCCCAGCCCATGGGGATGAGGAGAACTTGGCGGATGGGATTCACAGAAGTAGCTGGAAGTCCACCTGAATTTTCAGGGGTTGGGATGGGATAGGAGGATAGAGGACAAATTCCTTGAAAACCATGAGATCTCAACTACTTGTGGTGCGCGATAGAAACGACCCTTGGGTCAAACCTGTTTTTCCTCGCTCCACCAAGGCAAGGCCTCCACGATGCACCTTGCAGAAGGACCTCACCGGAAGAGGGGTGAAGCAGCGTTCAAAGACTCAGGTTGCCAGTTATTGTGCTGGGTACAGTAGTTCAGCAGTAGGTCTTGCTGTTTCCCTGCCAAGTTTGTTCCTTGAGTTTCATCCATGCAGCCAGCTTCATGCTCAGTGCACACCAGAGAATTGAGCCATAGTGAATTGCCTGTGTGACTGAACAATGACTGGCTGCCATAATGTGTTTCAGTCAGGCAATCGAACAGGATCTTTAGTTTGATCTTCTAGAATCACCACATCAGCAGCTACAAACAATCCATGGCTAGTTACCTTCACTTCTGCTGCAACCATCCCCTGACCTGGCTTTGAGCGTGCCCGTGCTGTGCCATGGCCGCTGCCGTGGAAGAAGGATGGACACTGCAATTGCCCGGAAACTCGCATAACTCTGTGGCCCGGCCAAAGTCCGTGAGTGTTTGACGGCATGGAGACCATCTCGGAGGGTAGATGCGCTTGAACTCCTTTGTAAACGGGGCTGTTCACTCGGACCAGCACCATTGGAACGCTTCCCCCGTTTGTCCTTAAACGTTTGGGGTCATCCTGGGCGCCTCTGTTGAGACCACCAACACCTGGCCGAAGAAGAGCCACACTGCGCGAAATGCCGAGGTGGGATTTCCGAAGTCGATCCGCGAGGTGGTTCTGATGGGAGCGTTGCACTGCGACCAGGTGAAGGATGCCCTGAAGGCGCTTTGAGCGCCGAGCTCCGAGTTCGTGGGACGTGGAGTCACTGAGTCGAGCCGTGCTGTGGTGGCGTTTCTCGAAGCGATTTGCTGATTTCACAGAACTCGGTCTTGTGGCATTTCATGGAACTTGGTTTGGAAAAGGGAAGAACAGGCATTCGGAGGCATTTCCGTGTTGCCAATGGTTCATCCCTTCGAAAAGAGAATCTACGCAGGCCCACAACTCACACAACCGACTGGTCAGATTCCACACCAACACCACCACTACGTCGTGCCCAAAGTCTGCACCAGGCAGGCGCCATCTCTTTGGCGGAGGCGGGTCGGAGTTCCAAGCCTTCCACCCAACATCAAACACTACAACATGTCAGAGGGTTCCTGATTCCGAATGCAACATAATGCAACCAATTGTATCATTCTCCCTGATGAACGTTGCTCTACAAAAGACAAAGCTCGCGCACATCCTGTGTCCGTACTCCTGAGTCTAGCAGAGTCTAGCAGTTTAGTAAAGCCAGGTCGCCCGCCCTATTCTGAGAATAACAGAGTCTAGCAGTCTGGCAAAGCGCCCAGGATAGGGATGACATGGGATGACCATCTAGATTTAAGAGGTCCCGACCCCTTTGGACCCATGCCTGCACCATCACCCTATCACTGCTGGTGGGCAGTGTCGGCGTGGCATTTCCAGGTTGCCTCGCTGATGTCCAAGTTCCACCTCTTGGGCCAAAGTGAAGGCAGCACCACCCTTGTGGAGCTGCTCTCAGACGAGGCGGTGTCCGTTTGGTTGTTTTGGGGAGCCTGCTCGATTTTTCGATGCTTCCTTTTTTTTTTTCAATGTACATGTTCTTCATACAGTATCAGACAAAGGTGTCCAATCCGTCCGAGAGGCAATCCCTCAGATTCCTCTCTACTCCACCACAATCCACCCCCGTTGGCCTCCGGGGTGTCTTGCCCCAGATGTCAGGACGTGCGCCGCTTTTTCGTCGCGGCGGGCGGTGCTCCGCAGCTGACGTTGGGCCTGGGGCGCTCCAGCGAGCGGGCGGCCTCGGTGGAGGATTTCGTTGTGGCACGGGAGCGGCAAAAGGCGGAGGCTTTGGCAGCAGGTTCGGTGCGGGTCACGGGCTGTGTGGGTGGTTGGTTTTGATTGTTTTGGCAGTAGAAGGGTTGAGCGAGCTCAGATTTCAATAAAACCTACGGACCGGATTTGGCGGCATGAGCCAAATAGGCCAGTTTGACATGTCACGAATCTCCAGCTAAGTACCAGACGTCATCTACCTTGATCTGTCATAAGCATTAATCAAATCATAACCTGCAATACACATTCTCCAGCCCAGGAGGAGACGGTGAAGCTCAATGTGAGTGGCCAACTCTATGAGGTGCCCCGTTTCCGTGTGGTGGGGATCATTGCGGTAGAAATTGGTGAGAGTTAGTTGACTCAGATACAAATCAAGGTCTCGCAGTGTCGTCTCAAACACAGGAGACTGTGCCAAACACTCTGGCTGGCCCCACCATTCTCCACAAGCAGCGATCATTAGAGCCTCCTTCCTTTCTTACACAGTTTCCCCGAGGCCCAAAGCCCTTGTGTTTCCAACTCACCGCCGGCAGCACGGTACCCAGGTGCACCGAATGACCGCGGAGCGGATCCCCCTCGTGGCGGCGATGCTGCGCTTTACGCGGGAGAAGGAAGAGGAGAAGCCGATCTTTGTGGATGCGAGTCCCAAGGCCAGGTGAATTTCCACCCAACTCATCTTCTCCAAGTCAACAGCAGCAAAGAGCCGAAATTAGGTTGATGGTATTTGGATCGATCAATGTTTCATGTAGTCAGAGCTTGATTCAAGAGTGCATGGTATCCGCTTTAATATTAACCTAGACTGGGAAGCTGGTTGGAACACATGTTTCTCTGGATGGAGGCATTCGACGTGCTTCTGGAGATAGCTCGGGGGCGCAAGAGGACTGGCCGAGATGAGCGGGACAGGCAAAACTGCAGTAGAAGCACAGTCGTCTTGCAGTCTTCCGAACTCAGCGTCCATGCTTGTCGTGGGCGGGTAATGGGGGAAGAATCCTTCAGCCGTTTTGAACGGATGCACGACGCCTAGGAGCTACTTGGACACCTTAGAGCCATCCTTGAAGGTCTTGGTGGAAGCCTATGCTGAATATGCGGCTAAGTGGCACATGCATCATTAGGGCCACTGGGTGGTGGTGCTAGCTAGAGCATGGCAGGTGGCTGGGCTAGAAGGGTCAGCACTTATTATACACATTGATATATTATATGTATATATTATATATTGGTAGTCACTTACTGGTCACTCATCATCGTCACAACTTCTGACTGACTTTACAACAGTTACAAATACACATAGACCTCCCTCTCATCTGGCCATTTGGCGTCGTTTCTGTGGTCTATTTCTGTTGAACCTGCTTGAACCCGGTGGCCCAAGGCTGGGATGACTGTGACCTCGGTGATGGGCTTCGACTTCAAGTTGAGTGCCACGCATCCCAACAACGCCTCGGCAACCTGGCCACAAAGCGGAACGGGAGGACCTGGCGGTCGCTTTTCGTCGTTCTTTTGGGTCGATGCGAGATGAGTTCTTTCCTTGACCGACGGTGTATGCGGGATTGTGCGGGAAGCTCCCCTTGTCGGTGCCGAGAATGCTCCGCTAAGGCCAGGAATGCCTTCGCGTATTTGTCCGAGCAGGAGACGATGTACACGACCGGAGTCCGCCAGCAGTGGAACACCGTCTTCGGCTCCTCGCTGCTGCCGAGCAGCGGGCAGAGCTACTGGGAGGTCGAGGTCACCACACTGGGCCAGATCAGTTGCTTGGTGAGATCAGCGTGGGGGGGGTAGGTTTGGGATTGGGGTGGCATGTAACTTCAACTAATATAATGGGGTAGTCGTTGTGCAGCCATGGGTGTCACAGCCAGAGAATTTAACATTTAGATGACCTTACTGCTGGAGAATAGATAGTCACTTTCGAACCTGAAATCCAAGATACTACATCTCAGGTCAACTACACCTCTCTTTGTTTTCTTTCCGCCTCGGCACTCAAAGATCGGAGGGACGTGCTGAGGTGCCGACTTCGTGGTGGGTGTGACGACGTCGGCCTTTGCCACGCCCCACGCCATCCTGGACTCGGGGAACCAAGGCACCGTGGAGTCCAGGAGGATTGTTCGCACGTGATCCGGGGGAGGATTGTGAGAGTGGAGAACTAGGAGAGCTTTGCTTGGGTAAGGGCTTGCTAGATTTGCTAGCTGGGGTTGATCCTGGCACTGAGGATTTATGATGATCGATGGATGTGAGATATTGAAGGGACATGTGACATGGGATGAAACTCCTCCCCATGTCCTTTCTGATTGATTGCTAGTTGCTTTTTTTCCTGGGTTCTGACCAAGAATTGAGGAGAGGTTGCTTCACATTTTTCGAGTTGAACGGGCCTGAATCTCTTGGCAAGCTAATTGACATGTTTCGCTTCCGCTCTGGTTGTTTCTCGTTTCTCCTCCATTCACAGTCTCTCCATCCTTGTGAAAGCCTTTGGCCGCAAGGTGCTGGGCTGGGCTTCATCAATCAGGTGGTCACAATGAGGCGAAGCAGTGAGACAGACTGCTCCATTTGAACAACGAGTCTAAACGAGTCCAGCACAAGTTAGAAGCCTTTGCGTTGCACACACGAATCAATACTTGCGGCCCTTTTCAAAGGACGATTCACCAACTAGAAGCTGTTCTACTCCGGATTGACCTTCCAAGCAGCAAGACGCCTTGTTGCAGCAGCTTGCATGCCCACCCTAACGACCGCAAGACTAGTTGGTGCTCGCCGAATTTCATGCATGACTCACTTCAGGGACGGCGTCACCGACACGATTTCTGTGTTAAAAAAGGCACCAGGAAGTGTAGTTCTCCAAGTGCTTTAACCATTCATCTTGTTTGCATCATCCGGAGTGCTTGTTTTAACCACGAAGCTACAAAGCTGATCTGCTGATTGCCAAGCCTCTTGATCACATGACGAGGGCCGTCCTCCTTCCAGGTCCAATGGCCAGAGTGGCTCTGCGTTGACCGAGTCCTTTCCCATCTTCCAGGGCACTCGCATCGGAGTTTTCGTGGATGCGGAGCCCTTGGCTGTGCCAGAGAGATGCCAGATAAGTTGAAACTCAATTTCTAGGGCTGATTTCATTTCTTTCCTGTTGGTCTAAGTCTAGAGCTATTGTAACTTGTGGATGAGGCTCCCGCTTCTTTCACCCCAAGACCTTTCAAGCGATCCAAGGATCGAGGCAGCTTGATGTTCTTCCACAACGGACACTGGGCGGGTGGCAGGGTCGAGTGCCGCTGCACTCGTTGAGTTATATCATATCGCCGAATTGTTCGGGTGTGTGCCATGCAAAGTGGATACTCTAGGACTCTAGTCTTGGACCAGGATGAGGATGCATGGGATCTTCGAAACACACATGCCATTACCTCGTACTTATGTCCACACGAGCGGTTTTAGTTGGCGGCGTTGCTGGTCGCTTCAACATGGACTTCAGCGTCCCACACGAGCACTTTGATCTCACCAAGTCTTGTTTATGTTGGTCAATTGGAGTGGATGTAAAATGGTGCAAAAACTGTAAACCCATGGTGCTCACATCATTGATCGCATCGCAGGAACCTTCAAGTGTTCGCACAGCGCCTCCTTCAAAGGGCAATCCTTGCTGCCCGCTTTCTCGGTCCTGGCGGACACAGCGTTGACCATCAAGACCGGCTTAGTGGCGCCTTCTTAAGGTCCACAAGTGACCAGTCCACACAGCCAGTTGGCAGATCTCAGTTGGCTGATGTTGGGTAGCCGCAGGCGCAAGAAAAGAGTGTGGAGTTCACACATCACCCGAGACATGGCATGTTGGGCTTGTTTATTTCTACAAACTTTTATGAGAATACTTAGGGTGCTGATCAGACAGGACATCCATGAAAATCCGGAGGGCAGGTCTTACCTGCATTCACAGATTCACACCCCAGGCACCAGCCTTTATCGAGCGTACAATCAGGACTCCAAGTGGATGATGCAGGTCAAACGCTGAGCGAGATGGTATGCATCAGCGGCGCGAATTTTGGCCATCAATTGGACCAAAAAGAACATCTTCTGTGCATTGTGCATCTGCCTGAATTTGACCGTGGTTGGTCGGTTAATTTGAACTACTGTACTTCAGGGATGAGTTGCATGATAGACCTCTTCACCTCTTGGGGATTTGCTGAAGGCACATCTGGTAGGTGATTCAGCAGGTGACACCTGGAAGCACCATGTCATGGACAAAACCTTCACGAAAGTCATGAAAGGTGTTTGGGAGAGCGGCGGTGAATCATGGCTTTTGGCTTTCGCTCGCCGCTCGTCGAAAGACACGTTTTCATGAGCTCGCTGGAACTCTTGGCAGGGAGAAAGGTTGGCTTGGAACTTTAAGAGACGAATCCTGAGATATCCCAACAAGTTCATTCCAAGCCTATAGTCTTGTCCACCTGAGTGAGAGTGTTTGGAAGTCTGACGGACGATGCAGCCTGCCCAGTGCCACCGGATGGATTTGCCCAAAGATCAATATCTAGTGCATTGAAGTTCATCTTTAGATTCAGCGCTCAATATAAAGGCCACGCCTGAGAACTCATCATCCGTTGGTGCATCTCAGATTTGTTTCCAAGACTGCCAGCTCCCTGAAGATCCCAAAGCACAGGAAATGTCCGACTTGTGACAGTTGTGGGAAGTCTTCAAACCAGGGAAACAATCCCAACTCTGAGATTGCGACAGCTGGTCTTTGAAACACACCCACACCAGACATGTTCAAAATACATTCTGGCCATTGCAGTGGCCTACTGATTCAACTCTTCAGTCTAAGTTGATTGGTTTCTTCAAACCATGCTGACTTTCTTCCTCCGCATTTTTACCCACCAGTAGAGTAGAGTGAGGGTTTTCCAGGTGAAGCCCTATCCACAGTTCCACAGCTGGACATGGTGCCATGTGGGCAGCGAGCTTCGATAGTTCCTGGGCGGCCGCTCATCGGCCTCGAGACAAGAGCAGCGCCCTGGCGAGCGAGCTCAATGAGCAGCCGCTTGGCTGAAGCAGTTTGGGAGTGGAAGCATGTTGGGAGGCGGGGGCTCTTGACGGGGTGATCACCAAGCATGCTCCAGCAGGCATGTGTGCAGGCCATCCTCCCCACTCAGTGGTTGTGAAAGGCAGGTTGGAGGAGTCATTTCCTTTTTTCCTGCTTTGAAATGAATCACTTAACTGGATGGTGCGGTCGTTGGCAGCCTTTGAGGTTCAACGATGGCTTATTGGTGAAGCTTTTGGCCACCTCCCCTGGAGGCACCGTGAAGACCGGCTTTGAGTCTTGGAGATGGAAGAGGTCTTTATGATAGCTTTATAGCAATGCAAAGGAGTGGAAGGTGGCACATCATGTTGTCCATCCGCTTCAAGGTAATGTTCCGAAATGTTAGGGGGTTTATGTCTCAAGCTAATGCAGGTGATGCCACTCAGAGTGGAAGACATTTTTGGAATTCTGTGATACTACATGATATGAAATAGTTTTCAATCCAACGCCCAGTCGTTCCACATGTGGCCATTTTCACCGAGGACAAGAAGGTCTCCCAACTCTTGGGCCTTCGACATGGCCAACAACCGCACCAGGAAGGCTATCTGCCACTGAATTGGCAGCTGGAGGCGCTAGATCCGCGTGGGGGGGAGGTGGGGTGGAGAAAATCGCTTCTTGGAAGGTGATGGAGATTTAAATTCGGGACGCTGTATCAATTTGGATCGTTTAGAGATGTTGAATATATATATGGACTTTTGGCTCCTTGAATGGTCTGACTTGTGGCTCAGAGTAGAATCTAGCCCAGATTAGCCAGCGTTTCTTTTCTCTTCCAGTTCCTTGATTTCGATGCCCATCTGCTGAGATGTCAGGAGTGGCCGAGAGGCAAGGACGACGCCTCAGGAAAGGGCATCGCAGGCGCTGGTGGGAGGTGGCCGGAACCGGGACTTGCCCGATTTCTCCGAAGAGGATGAAGAATTCTGGGGTGGCACCTGGGTCAACAAAGAAGGCAGCTGAACCCTTCGGTGACACAAAAGTTTGGTCATGTTACCTATTCATACCTCTTCATGATTTGAGTAACTCCAACTTCAATTCAAGTGTTGTCACTTTGAAGGGCAAAGATGTCAAGGCCTTTTTTGATGGCTCTTCTTTAGTCATTTGAAAAGCCCAACGAACTTTCCGTGCCCCCGAGGTTGGTCAAAGAGTGATATAATTTTGGACTTCCAACGCCAGCTTTGCAGTGTAGGTAGCTTCTTTGTACACATAAAGCTCGAGAGATCACTCTGGGTGGTTTATGCAAGAGGGTCTAAAACATTTTGCAAGGTCGCTTACAAAATAGATGAACAAGATTATGGCCTTCTTATTTGTGTAAACAACCTCCATGCGACCGACGACGTGAGCTCCTCTCCTCACCGAAACAAGCACCGACATCGGCCTCCGTGGCCCGTGATGGGACGGTGCACCGCAGCCAGGCAACTGGTTCACCAGCGCCTCGCTGGTGAGCCGGCACCTGGCGGACGATGTGCAGGAAGAGCTGCGGGGCACGGCGCTCTATGGATGCAACCGCTATGCGTGTGGGAGGCGGGATGATCAGGATGATCGGATGAGGGTGGTTTGGCCATTTGTGAATCATTGGACAATGCTTGAGAAAAGAAGGATCCATCTTGACCAACGCGTCACCCAGAAGGAAGAACACTTCCACTGCTAGAGAATCCCGTGACTTCCCACAGTTCCCAGCGAACCTTTGCGATGGAAATTGATTAATTGGGATGTTGAACCTTCCCATCCATCCTCCGACACGACCTCCGCGGCCTCCGCTGCTGGACAGGTCCATGGAGTCGCATAAGGTGCTGGTCGTGGCTCGGCACGACGACGCCGTTTTCGCGCATCGCATCGTGGGCCCTAGACCTCCGGTGCTCACGTTGATCAGGTCTATCAGCCCTACCCAGTGGTGGGCTGTGGCTTTCTGTCGGATGCCGGCACCAACACTCTGGGGGAGTTCACTGGATGCGCGCAGGAGTGGCCAGGAGAGGTGAATATACTATATACAGGTCTTTGGTTGCAGGAGTGGCTTGAGTGGTTTGGCTAAATGATTTTAAGGAGCTCTCAAAAAGCAAAGACATTTCTGCGTCTGAAAGTACCCTTCCTTACGAACAGATCACTAAGTACCCTTCCTTCAAATGAAGGGGGTGATTGAAAGATGACTGGGCTGCAACAAGTTCATGTCTTTTTTGCCCTGGAGATGATTCTTCCCAGCCGCCCAATCACTTCAATGCATTGACCAGTGGCCAGGACCCAAGGGCGCGCGGTGTTCTACCCCGGACGACTGTGGGGTGCGGACGGCTGGCGGGGAGTTTGGGGAGGAGGCCAAGCGTGGTGTCTGGCGCGTCGACCAGTGGCTGTGTGGCAAGGGGTGACTGGATGGGTGTTTGGCAGGGATATGGTGGAGATCTCACAGTGTTGGAACAGTTGAAGGCTTTTAACCCTGAAATTACTGTAACAGTTTTGTGCTCAACCGATGCAAACGAGGATTCAAAACGGCCCCGCTGAGGAAGTTCCTGTCACCCTTGGCCTTGAGCTTCAGCGGGCGCTTTGACCCCTACTCCGCCGGTGCCCAGCGCTTCGTGGAGGAGATTGGGCAAGCTTTTGGGACCCTGGGACAGCGAAAAGCAAGCTAACTACCACGAGCAATGGAACAAAACAGAACAGCGAAAAGCATTGAAATTCTACCTGCAAGTACGTAAAGGTAGACTCTTCAGGGTCTCCACAGGTTGGATTGAGAACCCTCTCATTCACCTTTTGATCTATTTTATGGGTGTTTGACACCCAAACGGGCTTTACAGAAATTGATCCACAGTCGGCATTCGGCTGTTGGCACAGAGCGTAGGAGCAACGGAGCTGCAACCCGAAGCCCACGCGGCGACAATTTGAGGCAACCTTGACCGATCGGGGCCTGGCTTTGGGATGGAGTAGATAGAGTGGATTGGCTGGATCATTTTGCAGTTCTTCGTTTGAGGGGCAGTGCCCACCGTCAACCAAGGGCTTTTCAACTACCCAATCTATTCTTTTCATCTTTCCGTCAGTCTCATCGCGACTGCAGTGTGCAGAGTAACACCCAGGACGATCAATCACAATAGAGTCAAAATACCACGCTAGATAAAGCTCCTGGCATATATGGAGTCCTACAGCGGGGATCCATGATGACCAGATCGTATCATCCCCAAGACACACACACAGACGAGGGCAGTGCTTCAGGCGGGTGAGAGGATCCACACCATGGGCTACAACGAGGTCATGGTCCAGGCGCGATCGACCAAAGGCCTCCAATGCCTGCCTTGGAAGTAGACAGAGATCTAATCCACTACTCACCTGGCAGCCAGGGTTCAAAGTTCATAAGTTCAAGCTGCCGAACTTAGCAGTGAAAGAATTGGCGAATAGAAACACCTCCAGGAAAGGACACATCCATGCCTTGCCTATTCTCGAAGCACATCTCGCTCACATCGAATATATTTCACCATTTCGCTGGAGGGCTGGCGGATGTTTCCTGCTCATCTTTGCAGGTTGGGACCCCTGCGATGCTTTTTTGAAGAGATGCACAAGGTGCCGGGCTCACAACGAACGAACGGCCTGAAGATCGGTGGAGGGATGTGTGTGGCTCCTTCCATCACGTTGAATACGAAAAAAATCCCTTGTACCCACACTTGCATGGAGCCTCCAACTACTTCCTCTTGAGAGAAAACAAACTCCACACTATGAGACTCCCAACCACTAGTGTCACTAGTGAGCCTCAATCCTTTTAGTCCCATCCATTGCAATATCCTTTTGAGCCGATCTTGGCAGACGCCCCAAGGATGGGGCAGTGCCGGCCAAGCGCTTCAGCTTGACGCAGCTGCGGCTCTGGCAGTGCCGCACCAACGGTGTCCGCGCCTTTGCGCGGGTGCAGCCGGTGCCGGAAGTCGTGGATGAGAAGACCAGGATGGATGGAGCATGGATGGAGCATGGAGGGAGGATGGAGGAAGGATGCTGAGCTAGTTGGATGACTCGGAGCTGAAGAGAAGTTGCACTTGATTGATTTACACTCCTGGACAGCTGGTCTACTTAGTCTACTGTTGGTACGGGTATTTTTTAATGACATGTCAGGTTTGAGGGGCTTTGCCACAAGGGTTGCTGTGCATGCCAAAGGTGCTTGAATTTCTGATACAGATGCTGTCATGATGCCATGGTTAAGAACAACTGGACATGTTGGCACTGTTCTCTTCAATGAACTCCTGGTAAATATTGGATCATAGCCAATCATTCTGGTTTTATTCATGGTCCATAGGGATCGCCAGATGTATAGAACCAGTATAATTAAATATAGTATCATATAGTTATATATATATATATAAGTCAATCAACATATATACATATAATGTCCCCTCTAAACAACTGGACATCACTTCATCTTATAGTGGAATCCTTGGGAAGCTACGGACTACGGAAACGCCTGCAGCTGCTCTGCCGATCATGCTTGCGAAGGCATGTGGAGAACTGCCGCTACGAAGTCTTCAAGAAGATGCGGGACGCCTATGTGCCTTGGCCGGCGAAAAGCTGTGTGACCCAGAGATGGACTAAGGGCACGGCCCAAATACCTAGGAAATAGCAATAGAATCAAGGGTCTCCCAGGCAATCGTCAGGGGGCATTTTCCGGAAAAGCAAGGGTGACACGACTTTGAGAGACCCAATGTATGGACGAAACAGGAGAAGACATTGCTAAGCTATCGGCCAGTCTGTCCACGAATGAGGAGCTTTGTTTGATGTGTTCACCCTTCTACGGGTGAGTGCTTGCGGATCCTGTCCACTGATCGGAATGCTTCAAGTGCTGCGTGATGCCAACCGGGACAAGCCGCGCCGTGTGGAACCTCGTCACACCGACCCAAGACGACCTGCGAGGACATGGCCTGTGGCCGAAGCGTGCCGACGCCGATCTTGTTCTTCGACCTCACGGCCGGGGAGAAGCCCTTCTCCGCCCCGGCGCGCGGGAGAAGACCGTGGGGAGAGGTGGTGGGCCCATGGGGTGGAGGCGCTGGAGGATCTTTCCAAATGGTTTGGGATTTTGGAGGTTTCTTCGTAGGTCAGTTCTACTCAATCGTTTAGTTTTTTTGCAGTGTTTTGTGAGGTGGTTCCGTAGCCATTTTGGCTCAAAGAGGCCCCAAGGTGAAGTTAGATCACCTCGTGCTATGTATCTTGAGTTCTTTCTGGTACTGGCTTTCGCAGTGGGCTTCCTTTCTGGGTGTTTGGTCACCCGGGTGGCATTTCGCTTTGTGTGGTTGGTCCCCACTCGTGTATGCATCGGTCCTCGAGCCTTCGACACGTTGCACTGGGACTAGTGCTCTATTTTATGGCGGGCTGGATTGGACAGGATAGCTCGGATTCGTGCCTTCTGCCATTGCTCCGAACAGGTGTGGAACGCTGTGGACCGTGCCCTCGGTGGGGTTGCGAATCCTACCCTGCTGGCCATGCTTCCAGTGTCGACGCTGCGCCGCACCCTCCGCGCCGTGCGAGTGGGGACCGACCCCGATCTTCGGGAACTGCAGGCAGGCGTGTTTGCAGGCAGTCCCTCAACATGGAAGAGATCGACCTGTTGGCAGACCCAGTGACACCGGCCCCTCAGCAGGCCAAGTGGACGATTCAGAGATAGATCTCATGTCACGACAAGAACTGGAGCACATCGAGATGACAGGGGCAGAGCCGAGCGACGATGCAGAGCCGACCTCAGAGCAAGTGGCAGCCTGGATCGCTTGTTGGGGAGAAAGTCCATACGCAGACTTCTCGGTGGTTGAAGACGAGATCATGGCTGCTGCAGCATGAGGCGCGCAAGCCAGCTTCCTCAGCGGTAAAGATCCACGAGGTGGCGGCAGCCCTGAGAGCGGCTGGCTATAGAAGTTTTCCTGCATATCTATGCGAGGCTCTGCAATGACATTGCAGGAAAGGGCACCCTACCACTGACGTCATCCACTTGGCCATTCCAGGTGCCAAAAGAGCGGTGACAAGAGCGTTGGGACCTGCCAAACGAGCCCCAGAGATCCCTTTACCTCGTGATGAAGGGCATGCTGCTTGGCCATGTGACAGGTATGAGGCATGGGTGTTCGCCGCGCGATTCATTTTGCGTGAGCAAGAATTAGCTTGCGTTTTCCTCAATGATGTAGAAGTTCGAGCACCACAGCTGCAGAATACGCTCAATTTGCCGGTTTCAAAGGGAGAGCCCATGGGCAGTGGAGCTCGTCGGACACTTGGATGTGTTACGTGTTTGTTCAACTTCACCAGAAGAGTCCCCAACTTGCCCCTGCCCTTCTGTGTGACTCTTCGACTGCTGCGCCGACAAGAACAGTGGCTTCAAGTGAAGGGTGGTTCAAGGTCTGCGGAAGGCTTCATGGTAGGCGAATTGAGTTCTTGTACATTGGTTGTGGAAAAGGCTGCCGTGATCGAAGCACTCAAGTATCCTCAGTGACAGCCTGCCGGAGGCCTCGGAGTTGGTAGATTCGACCTTGTTGAATTCTTTCAGAAGCCATCCGACAGACTGGGTGGCCGCATGTGGCTGGCCGTGGATCTTGGGTGGACGTGTAGCCATCAGAACCGGGAGGTGCGCCGAACAAAGAACTTTATGCACACCTTGTGACAAATGCCAGGACGAGCTGCCGAAATGGGCCTTGAGCTTGAAGGAGGCCTAATACTAAGGGCGTGAAAAGAGTATGTTAGCATGTCATAGGTTGCATAGGTGAAGTCCTGGGTCGACGATTGAACGGACGTGTTTTACCGTGCGTCGATTTAAGTCGAACAGGACGGAACACTACATGCACCGCTTCGGGACACCCAGTTTTCCTAGGCCCTATGCAAGGCTGTCGGTAGATCGACAGGTGTCTGAAGAAGGGGCGGCAATAGATTGCCAGTGGCACGCACCCCTAGTGCTGTATCCAGCAAGCAGCAAAACATCGAGGGTTGTTCGAGTGTGGTTTGCGCTGAAGTTGTGAATAGGGCGGTGGGAGGGGTTTTGTGACTAACGACTGACACAGTTTTCTGAGGTGGTTCCCTTCCTTGCTTGCAAACAAGTGCCCGGAACAGGAAGGTGTTTGGGTGAACCATTTGGAGGATGTTCACATAAAGTCTTTGCTTGGGATTTTCTATATGCCCCCAGTCTATATAGAGGACTTTGAACATCCAATGGATTTCATTTTGTTTCTTCGTTTTTTTTGCCTTTTGCAAGGTTTGTTAAATACACATCAATTTCCTGGCAGTGCACCGGTTAGACAAGGTAGATGCCTAAAGAGTGCTGCGCATGAACCTGCAGTTGGCAGGAGATCAACGAGCTCTTTCCCTGCCGAGATCCCTGCGATCTGCCAGAAAAGAAGTGACGTGCGTGCGAGCGCGGGTTCGCAGAGCTTTGAAGTCATTGACAGAAAGCGACGAAGGAACACCTGCTTTTTGCTGGCCAGCTTTGAAGGAAAGTCTTCCCCAACACCATGTTCCAGTTGTGATGAGTTGCAATCGAGCTCACTACCTAAGGGAGAGCAAGGATAGAAACCCAGGATCCAGCTGTGGTGGGCATTTTATCCCATCAGGCAGTTGCTGCGGTCTTCGACAACCGTTCTTGGCCAATATCACTGAGACTTTCTCCTGTCCTGAGCAAACCGCAGGAGCTGGGTATCCATTTGTCCACGGTGAAGAGCAAACACGACCACTGAGCCAACACGAAACTCGGAGCCTGCCACACCAACCAAAAGATCCAAAACAATTGGTTCAGGTGATGATATGTGGAACCTGTTGGAAATACCACCCCCAAGTGTGTTTCATCTGAAGCTGGCTTCAACCCGGATCCTAGTCCAAGAATTAAATATACTCTACATTCGCCGAAATGACAATGCAAAACTAGTTTGAACGGGACATCAAGACAGATCTGTCTGGATCAGAGCCAATGGGGCGCGTTGGCAGGTGTTTCCTTTGCCAGAACTGATCAGCTTGGATGCCGTTTGGGCTTGCAGACTAGCCCAAATTACATGGTGTGTGGTGGAAGTCCCTAGTGGTTGACCAAGTGTTTCTTGCACCCAAACAGAGCCAGAGAAATTGTGGTTTGGAGATGGGCATCCCACGAATACCTTGACGCATTGAGGTGTCTTGTATATACTGGAGGAGGGCTTCTTTGGGCCGCCACCGGCAAAAAAAACGCAGCCCACTCTGACAGATTCGCTGAGACAATAAGAGACCATCATTTTTCTAAAAGATCCTCTTAGATGGGTTTCCAATGGTTTCCATGCTTCTGTGGTGAAGAATAGGTACCCCCACAAGTTGTGCCGCTTCCTTGGGCGGCTTCCTCCGCCATGGAGGTGGGTTGACAATCACAGCTTTGGCTTGTCGGTGCTTGTCACTAGCTCACTAGCCAGTCAGCTGGCACTTGCGCTTGCTACGCCTGCTTCGGGTATGCTCGGGAGCTGTGCAGACCAGATGATGCCGGGGTAAGCCTGCCAACAAGCTCATTTTGAGGGAGGATGTAGCAAACTCAGAGGTAGGGAAAGCGATCATTACTGATGCAGGCGAGTCAATGACACACCACACCTTTCTGTTGTGCTTGGAGGTCAACTTTTTCCCAAGAAAACTGTTGATTTTTGCTTCTTCCCTTATCCCAACAATCACCCATACAGAATTTACAAAAGCCGAACGCCCCCAGGCCCTTGGCCCTAGACGTAGTCGGCTCATCCTACCGATGTCACAGCCAGGCCCGCTTTCCCCTGCGCTCTCATTTGCCCGGCAGCCCATTGGAGCGCGGAGGAAGTAGTGGGGATCGGGTTTTCAGAAAGCATACGACAACCTGTGCGTGGGTTTTGCTTGAACCAATTGAACCATACCCAAATCTTTTGACAGATGTTTGGTTTTTCAGACTGAGTTGGCGGACGTGCGCAGTGACAAAGTTTTTGCAGGATCTCGTTTGACGGCACCGCCCAAAAGAATGCCGGCCATCGCGGTGACCCACCGGCAGAGTTAACTCGGTTCACGAGTTCAGAAGCGAACATCGAGGAAGGAGCACCTTCCTCCAAGCACCAGGTCTATGTGATCAAATGCACCTTACACAGCTTCCATCCTAAGAGAACCATACCCATTGGAGCTTTTCAAGTCAAGAAAGACTACATGGCAAGTTCAACTTCTATTTTTGGAGGTTTTTCTGGGTCTTTGAGCTTTGCAGTTGAGCACCGCCTTGGGTGAACGAAAGCTAAGAAGATGTGAGAACACGAGGCCCGGCTCCAAGCCACGAGAGGAGCAGGCAGCGGTTCGACTGAAGTCGTGGTCCCGAGCGGTTGGACATTGGAGTGGTAGCAGGGTCTACAGGTAGGTGGCATGTCACAACAGTTGTGAATGGAAGGAGTCGTCTCCACCGATGCTCCCATTTCAGATCCTTCTACCATTTCTTCAACCATTTGGGATTGTCTCCCACCCCTTTGGCTGTAAAGACAAAAACACAGGCTCCTGGCCTTACTACTAGGGGCGATCGGACGCTACTAATTAGGGGCTCCTGGCATCGCTAACGAGTCCGGAGCAAGGCTCGCTCCGGCTCGCTCCGGCTCCAACGGCTCCAACGGCTCCAACGGCTCCCAGCCGCCAGATGGCGCCGCTGGACCCTCTCCTTCATGACCAGCTGAGCTCGATGGGTCAGGAGGCGTGTTCGGTGAAAGGGACGGTCACGTTCACGCGACACGATGGTCTTGTGAAGTGGATGGTTAATAGGTGTGATGGTTTCTTGTATGGCAGGGTCAAAGGGTCATGTTTTTTGGTTGGTTGGTTGCTTATTCAGGGTCAAAGGGTTGGGAGGGCCCCACCTGGAATAAGACTTGCACAGATCCCGGCAAGACGAGTACTTTGTTGTATTTTTTGGGGCCGAAGTTCGCAGATGGACCTCAGAAACAACAAGCCAGTGGTGACAGAGCACCGGGCCTCTCAGAAGGGCCTCAGTGGCTGGGTTGAGTCCATGTGCGCTTAAAGATCTTAAAGATGCTTTCAGTGACGGGCAAATTCAGCATCATGCATTCAGGAAGCGACCTTGATGGGGATCCAGCATCCTGATGTTTTTTGCTTTGGTGATCCACACCACATTGCTTTTCCGATCTGGTCTCATTGACTGCCCGCCGCCAGATTAGCCACATGCTGCTGCGCGCGGGTCCACCCTTGGACTTTGAGGTAGGGTCGGAGTGGTAGATGTGTCGACCTGGACGAGGCATGACGAGGTTCCCAGGTCAAACAAGGCTCCTTCAAATCTCCCAGACCACCACAGGTCTGTGAGTGTGACTGGTGCTTAGAAGAGAATAAGGGAATGAGCCCCCCAATAGAGATTCCACTGGATCCATTCGCTCATTCCCTACTAAGCACAGGTCAGTTCTGTTGTGTCTTGTTCTGATTCATCTGCAGAAGAATCGTCACCAATGTGCTTTCGTTGTCTCACGGCTGGAGGTTTTGGAGGGTTTTGGAGGGTAGGTTTCCTCCTCTCCAAGCACAGATTCATGCTCCCAGAATCCACCACTAGTGCTTAACTAGGGATGGTACCTCCGGCAACCTTGAATTCCATGGCTGCTTGTGCTGCTTACGCTCCAGCTATCCGTGGCCCGCGGCCTGGTGGCCCGAGCTCGCCAGGCGCCGTTCCGCCTGACGGAGGAGAAGGAGTGCAAGAGGCGAGGCTCTGTGGTTTTCTCACGGAGAAGTCGATCCGGGAAATGAAAGAATCCCTCTTGAGCAGATTGAGGTCCCGGAGCAGATTTCTGGACTGAATGACTGGACACCAGATCCTTTTTCTTGACCGGTTGGTGCGACAAGGCCGCGGTATGGTAAGTTTCTCATGGTTCTACGTGGTTTTTTACTTGGTCAATTTCTTAAGCAAGTATCAACTATAGTTGCCTGTTACTGGGCCTGCTTTTTAGTGGGTCTTCGAAGCCATAGGTATACACATTGAACTCCATAAGGTCCATCAGCGTGCCTCAGTTGAGTATTTTTGGGACTCGAAGCTTTGATCACATACAACTTGGCACAATCATGGTTACAGCATGTTACAGTACACAAAACACAAGCTGCAGCAGAAATCCCAGTTCACGACTGGATGCTCCCACGACGCGTGAACCTCCATTTTCTTGGCGTTCGGAAGGCGAATCATTCCCGACTTCGAGAAGCCGAAGGTGCGAATTGTCCTCAAGGATTCTCAAGAAGCTGAAGGTGTCTCGTTTTCTACTTGCGTGATTTCTCTGCTTCCTTTCTGGCAGGCTTTGAACGTGAAGTATAAGGTGTATCAGTGCCACAGAAGTTCCCAGTTTCCGGACCCCCATGTTCTGACACCAAAACCGCCACTTTCGCTACACCCATTTCCACGATCGTGCCGTCAGCTGCATTGGTCCGGAGGCCTCGACTCCACGGGACTTCAAGATGGAGAAGGCCTCCGACCACCGGAGAGTCACTTTGACGTGATCCACTTCATGGAGCCCCAGAAAAGCCTTTGAGCCATGGTGATCGAAGACGGAATCGAATACTCATGAATGCGAAGCAGGACATCATCAGTGCCATGTCACCAATATGCATCGTTTCATAGATTTGAATCTCCAGCAGGCGCACCTTGCCATGCCAATGGCTGAAGCTGTTCCTCCCTCCCCCGGAGTGCCTTGGCAGAGCAAAAGAAGTCTCATGTGTTTACATCGAAGTAGTTTGGACGCCAGGGGAATTTGAATAGCAGGCGGATATGTGTGTTCTCTTTGTCAGACAGTTGGTAGGTGAAGTGATTATTGATGTTGTTCGAGAATCCGTTCAACATTCGGTCCCATTCCTTCTACTTTTTCCAAATTGGGGATAGCTATCGGTGTAGGGAATGCTAGGTAGAATCTTCTCTTTGAGGAGGCCCTTGAGGTTTCTAGCGCATTCGTACATATGGGGCCCTGGATGATATAGGATAGCTTGGGAAAAACCGTGTGGTTGAGGAAGGTTGGACGAGCTGCTTCATTCTGTTAAATGTAGTGATTTGAGCAGGAACTATGGGCAGTTTGCCCCGCTGGAGCAACCCACCGACAGACACCCAGTCAGGATACGTGTCGGGTCTGTGTCAAAATGAGGGCAACCCCTACAGTTCCACGCTCCAGATACCAACTGAGCAATCATTTTTTGGTCCTTTCAGAAGAACTTCCCATTTGGCGATTCACTACCGGTGACTCGATCCGTGTGCATCGAGGTGGCGCCCACGATGTGCAGCTCGAACACCTAGATGGTTCATCAAGGGGCTTCTTCTGGGAGCGGAGTATGGGAGTGACGGAGTATGGGGAAGTCGGCAAGGACGAATGCTTTGTGGGCAGATTGTTGAACATCAACTGGTACCTTGCCAACCTGAGAAACGGTGGAGGACATCGACACAAGCTGATCCAAGTAGCTATAAATGAAGGATATACTGTCTTGAACTTTACTTGGGTCTGTCTCAATGCAGGTGAACCTTCCTGGAAGAGGTTTGCTTTTGCTTTGCTCACCGCAGGCCGCTGTCACGTGCTGAACATGCAGGCGGGTTAACCCGCTGTTGGACCTGTTTTTTTTTTTTTGTATAGTTTTCTGTGCAGCAGATGGATTGTCAAGGACATCATTCCAGTTTCCTTCCACTCCACACAGGGTCGTGCGAAGCATGTGGCGTTGCCAAAAAAAACGAACTCCTGCCTCAGCGTCTTGGTAGGATTTACACTTGTCCAACCCGTGGAATCTATCATACCCAACATGGACAAGAAGACTTGAGCGACTGTGCTGCTGGAATGAATAGCTGTTTGGAGGTGCGTGCATTGGCGCAGTCCTTGGCCGGGCTCGGGGCAAAGGCCTTCAACTGGCCACTCAGCTGGAGTCGCGCAGCAGTGCTGGGGCCGCTGGTGCGGCTGGTGGGATTGGAAGCTGATTGTGTGAGCACAGAAAACTGATCCAAGAGGGCCTGAGGGAGCTGCGAACATTGGGAGTCTGTTGGCTTTTATGGGAGGTGGAATGTGGCAGAAAAGGTAGTTGAATGTATGCCTGGTCGAGACGAAGCTGCATGATTATGCATGATTTAAGCAAGTGACTTTGACTGGATATATTTGTGTGTTTGCAGCTGCAGATGTTTAACAGAGGACAAGCAACAAGCAGTAATAAGGGACTCTAGATTTGAGAGGTAAGGCTGCTCATCCTTTGTCTCCTATTTGCTTCTTCTGACAGAAAGGGGGTCTATGAACTCGGGAGTGACGGCTTTTGAAACACCCACCTTGGATATCCACCCACATCTGCCGCTTCCGGCCCCCAACATCCCCATTCCAAGGCAATCCCACATCCCTATCACCAAGGAGAGAAGAAGGGGAGGTTCAGCATCACCTCGGCCTCACAGCATCCTCCACCTGTTGTTCCCTCCGACGTGGAACCCATCCGACCCATTCGACCACCGCGCCGCCTGGGCCCAGACCGCAAGGTCCATGGGCCTGAGCAAGTTGCAGCGGAGGGACCTGGCCGAAGCGGTCTTGGAATATTGCAGGTGACGGATGGGGGTCTTTGGGCAATGGAGCTGGGAGAATAAGGACACGGTGGGGTAGGGAAACTGCACAAGCTGCTGGGTTGGGGTGTCGTGTGCCATTCTCGCTCGAGTGGTTGCTAAACCTTCATTCCCTTGGCTTCATTGCATTTCTGCAAGGAGACCCTGAAAAAAAGAACCTGAGATTTGTGAATGGGGCTTTTGGAAGAGGACTCTAGAACTGCCTAGGGGACTGAAGGGTTGATGCATGCGCAAGGGCCGGAAAAGGAAGAGCACGAGAGTGGGCTCATGGCGTTTGTTGGAGCCGGTGAGCCATGCATTTTCAATTTATTTTTCAGGTACGGACCCACGGACGGTTTTAAAAGCGATCGAATCGTTCTTCACCTTGCTTTCTGCGTGTACCAGTCCTTTCGTTTTTTTCCCACGAAGAGATCGGAGTGTTCCCGAACCGCTATCACCCAGATGCCTTCGCCGCGAGGCCCTGTGCGCACCTGGATACGACACTGGAGGTCGGTGTCGGGAAGACGGAGCGCCCTTGGTGGCCCTTGGCACGTGCAGGGCACCCAAAACTCTCAGAGTTCTTGGCACGAAGGTTTTTTGGGATGACCTCCGCCTCCTCCTCCCCTAAAACCATGATTTTTTTGGAATTGAAGCAAGAGCTTTGAAGATGGTGCATGCACACCTGTGATGGATTCTCCACTTGCAGCGTGTGGGGCTTTGTACCCAAAGGTCCTTTTGAAGGGTGGGGGCTGGGCTGTGGGGCTGTCGGACATGAAAGATGTGTTCCCCTCCTTATGAGTAGCGTGCAAATGTACCGTTCTACAATCACGCCCTCCAAAAAAACCATGGGAAGCTCCTCTTGCACCGTATGAGGCAAGTCAGATAGCATATGTGGTGGAGTTCCGTGGTCCGTTCGGGATCAAGTGTCGAATGCGATCTCCAGAACATGACATTCGCACCGATAGATCATTCCTGCACCACTTAGAAACCCAAACATGTACCAGGATATTCTCTATATCTGGCCAGATATGGATGTGTGAGGATAGCAACCTCTCCAACTTGCAGTCGGAAAAGCAGAGATGAATTCCCGGTTGGAAGCGAACCTGAATTGGGAGTTCCATGGAGTTCTACGTCCAAACAGAGCTCGCCCCATTCATATGGAGCCGAGAAGACGAATGCTCCATCGCCAGGGCCTTTGCATTGACCTGGAGAACATCCATTGGGGCAAGGTGCAGCCATATTTTGTTACTGGACACCATGGTACCAGTTTCGTTTGAGCAGGGAAACACTGCCTTGTGTAAGTCACACATTGACACATCTCATCCTTGCATCCCACCTTTTGCCATCCGACATTTGCGCGTCCCGTGCCCTTTCCATGGAGCCAGTGGTGCTCCGTCTTGGAGACCGTCTTCGGCCGTCCCGCCGTCGCCGGTGGAAGCATCCACAGCAGAGGTGGCTTCGGTGGGCAACCTGAACCAGCAAGCGCCTCCCGCAGATTGGATCTCCCAGGCGCGGTTCAACGGAGAAGCCACGCAGAGTAGCGGAGAGTAGTGGAGAGTAGAGGGGCTTGGAAAAGGCAGGTGCATCAGGTGCCAAGTGAGGATGATTTCTATGTCATTTCTAAGCCAAGGTGTAATTCAACGAAGGAAGTCCATGGTGAGGAGATGAGCAGGCAAGCAAGAATGGGTGTGATCCTACAGTTGGTTTTCAAACAGGAGAGAAACATCACCTTGCTCGCATTTGCCTTCTGCTCCTCAAAGCAATGCTTCGCCAACCTCTGTTTGGGGTCAATAGCAACTATATATTTATATATAACTTCAAGTCTTGGTGGAAATTGGGTGGAGTTGCCAGACAGTCCATTCTGTGGGAGTTCAAGGTATGGGAGTTAGAAATGAGCCACTTCCAAGCCTTTGGTCATGTCAAGTTCATACAATGGAAATGTATTGACCTGAAAAAATGGACGCTTTATGACAGTTCACCAACCAAGTCTTTGGACACTGGTTCCTTAGATCCGCAACCTCTCAGGCCAAGCAGGCCCAGACGTCGGAACTGCCGGCGCACAGCCGCCCCAGCGGGCCGGAAGCCGGCGGCACGCCGGGGTCGGCCACCGGGGCCGTGTCTGCGCTGAAGGCGCGTCCGGTGGAGCGAGGGTCGGCCGCCACTTGGGCACTTCGGTCCTTCAATGATTTGAGCGGATCAAGGGAGAAGAAGCTCCAATTGTGGGCAGTGCCTCCCTACTTATCTATTGGCATGTGGTAACAGTCCACCATCAGAGGCAAAGTCTTCCTCCTTGGATATCACCCTTCCAGCGTTCCGAAGACATGTTGCGCGTGGCAGTCTTCGCTGTGCTGGCATTCGGCCTAGTTTGGATTGGAGAGACCTCAGCAGACAATTCTGAGGGACGACTTCAAACGCACTCAGGGCCAGCGCTGCCGAGTTTGCTACATCCGCTGAGATGCCCTGACTGGCTTGATATTCCCCTGATGCAGCTCCTGCTCGGGTCAGGCATCAGCTTCATCCTGTCCTTGGCCTTCATATTTACTTGTCCCTGCAGACCAGTGAAGATTGCATGTCTCTTCATGCTGCTGCTTGCTGGCACAGCGACATTTTTGGTTGCAGGTGTGCTCATTTTTGGAAGCCTCACACACTTGCCGGTGTGGCACGTTTGGGTGCCCAAAGAACCTGCCAGATGCAGCGCGAACTGGCTGGAAGTGCCTGTCCTGTTTCCAGTACATGCAGGGTCTGACCTCACGACATCTCAGATGAACCACAGGCAAGACTACTTCGTGTCGTTGCTCCTGTACCTCCTATTATCTCCTATTGATGGGCTTTGCATCTGGCCAGCTCCTCACGTACTTGGGAAATGCCTACAGGTCCAAGAGACGCACAGGGTATGACCGGCTGGATCGTCGAGATCAGGCGGACCCTGTGCCGGAGGACCCTCCGACGATCTCACTTTGGGAGCGTGTGGCACTACACCTTCTTCCGGCATGTCTGATGACTTTCATGGTGGCAACGCACCGACTTGACATCCAGAAAGGCATTTGCTGGGAAGCCTATGTGATTTGGGCCTCGGTCATGCTGAGCAGAGCCATCCTCCAAGCTGCATACTTCACCATATCCCTGCCTGCCGAAAGCTACGTACCTGAATTTGGAAAGCCTGTCATTGAAGGAATTCTCCCAATTGTGGGTGAAACCCTCGATATCTTCAAGGATTGGATGTTTGTTGGTATAGCAGTCCACACCCAAACCCTGCTTGGATGCATGTTTGCGTACGCTGGACTGGTGATACTGCTGCTCTCGAATGTTTGGCTGCTTTGGTACCACGCAGAAGCCTCGGCAAGTTATTTGCTTCCTGTGCACGCCGCTTGCAAGACAACAAAGGAGCCCTTCTTCGTGAAGCATACATCGCCAGCAAAGCTGGCCATTGCACTTACCGAAGATTTGCCCCAAGCTGTTATGCAGTCAGCCTTTGTAGTTTTCTTCGGTGGCAGTCCGACCCAGTTTTTGTTTATCGGGGTCAGCTTGACCAAGATCATTCTTTGCTTTAGCCTGCGGGCGGTGGCTCTTGAGAGGGAGAATCGCCATGGTGAGTCCTGGCTAGCTTCAGTGGACTACTACAATAAGAAGATCGCTGTTTCTAGATTCTTCCTTGGTGACACAGATGAATGGGTTTTGAAAGAAAAATAAAAATTGGCCATGATGTTCCATGCCCTGCGGCAATACGAAGACGCCCTGCGGCTTCACGAGGAGCGTTTTGAATTCTGGCGAGTCAAGCAGGGGGGAGGCGGGAGGCGTTGACCCTTGATGCGAAGTACGAAGTGGCCAACTGCCTTGTAAGACTGGGACGCGCCCAGGAAGCTCTGCCGAAGATCCGTCAAGTCTATGAGACGAGGCGAACGACGGGTTTGGAAGCGCCAACACATCCGGACGTGGAGATTAGCAAGGTGCTATACGCCGAAGCTTTGGTCCAACTAAAGCGCTACGGCGATGGTTTGGTTCACCTAAGGGAGGTGGAAGCTGTTCGTCGTAGTCGTAAAAATGGCGAGCACAGCCCTGAGACGCTGATCGTGCAATTCAAAATCGCCAGCGCCCTCCAGGAGCAGGGAGGGGAGAATTGGAAGAAGCGCTGAAGAAGCGCTGAAGCAAGTGCATCAGGCGGTGAACTCAAAAGAGTGGGGTGCAAGGCACCAAACAACCCTGACCATCCAACACGGGGGAAACGCTGCATGCCTTGGACCGCCGGCTTCAGCGGCGCTCAGAGAGTTTGAAGAGGTTCTCATCGCGAGGAAGGAGGTGTTGGGACCGAAACATCGCGATACGGTCCGCACTCAGGGCTGGATCAACAAAATCCAGTCCAGACGGACCATATGAGTGCCATGCTGCTGTGCATGGGAACTTTAAAGATAATTCATCTTTGCCCTAAACATGGCAGCCTAAAACATGGCAGCCTAGAGCGACATTTGGTTCCCGCATGAAAACGATTGATACAGACTTTTGCCAAAAGATCCGGCCCAACCAACTTCGCACCCCAAGACATGCCCACGGAAACAGGGACCAAACAAATGACTTCCAAGCAAATGGTTCTTGAATTCCACGTAACAAGCCCCATCACATACAAAACTGCAGACTATCCAACGCAAGGTCACACCCTGACCCACAACACGCAACCCACCAAACATCCAACTGACCACACAACGCCACCCCTCCACCCACCCAAACGGACGAACAACAAACAGCCGACCGACAAAAAAAACCACGCCTGCAAAACGGTGTCACCATGCCAGAACAACTGGACCACACCGTTGACTAAAACATGCTCCGCCGGCGGTCCCAAAAATGAGGGCCAAAAAGGCATGGGAGTTCATGATTGGTGGAAGTTTTGTCAACCAGAGACCCCCTCAGTCACAGAGTGAATGTTGGATTTTTGGTGACAACGCAAAATTGGAAGATGCAAAAGAGGTACAAAGTGGTGTGTGGAAAAGGCAATATTTGTCGTAAGGAAGAAGGTGTGTGAAATTTGGTGGATGAGAAAATGGAGATGCTTCATGGTGCGCTTGCGCATCCAGAACATGAAAAGTTTTTCAGTTCCGGGAATGAGAAATCAGCCGATTTTTGGACATCCCTCGAGACGACAGAGACGACAAAGACCACCTAGAAAGGTTGCTCGTGTGACAGGACCAGGACCATGACCTCAGCCTGGGCCTCGGGTTGACGGTTTGGCAGAGTGGTTCAGGAGGTGACACTAGAGTTAAGACTTGTAGGTAGTCTTGCATGAAAGAAAACACATAAAATTCCATACTTTTGGGTGGCAGGTGTAGTTATATACTACTAGTATTGTTTTACTATACTCCTATTCCTTCACTTGTCCCACACTCTCAAGTTTGTGTTTTGTATGTCCAGTTTTGAGTGCGAGTCAACGTCGGGCCTTTGGTTCGTCATTTTGTCCTATGAAGTCGTGACTGGCACTTTTGTGGCATCGTATTCTGCGTCACTCCACGAGACCGGCGGTAGTGGTGGGCATTTCCTGCTTTTCTCTAACATAATGAGGCAGTCAAGGTTGCGCAGGTGGCAGATTCTGCTGGTTCATCACTTGAGTCAAGATGTCAACAACCCTCACATTTGACACAACTGCCTCACAGATCGACTTCGCCTGTAAGCAGTTCTTTGAGCAGACCCGAGCCTGATGGTAGGGAAGTTTGGCATGACCAAAGATGAATGCTACATCTCTGCCCACCAATTCAATCTGCTGATCAACATTTGTCAGGACTTGCTCAATGCTGATGTAGCTGTAAGGACATTTTCACTGATCCATGCAATCTGCAACATCTCTATCGCTTAAAGACCGTCTTGTTCTTGACTCGTCAGCTTTTTTAAATTCTCCAACATGAAGCGCTGCGTGATTTTCATCAGCCCCATCAAGAGGAATCCGATTCAGGTTTCACGCGGCGCAGGGATGGCCGCCAAGTGATAGAAGTTGAAGTTCACCCTCACTTTGAACAACATGTAGAGCGCAATCTGCAATAACATGCAATAACCAACAGGGACCCGAAAATGAAAAGATTGTAAAATGGGCGAACAGATCCAATTTTTTCACAAACCCGAGCGACCTTGGAGGCTTTCGCCCTTTCCCAAGGCCTCATCTGTGACCCCGGGTCCACGCCCAGCGTGCGGCCCTCCGTGGCGAGTGCCGCGGGGTCGTTGCCCGGGACCCCGGGTGGAGCGGGTGGAGCGGGTGCCGGAGCGGTGAGGGTGATCGTCCTCGACGGTTGACCGTCTTCAGGTCATTGCCCTTGTCCAAATCAGAGGCGGGGTGGGATGGGAGCGACGCTGGGACCGGTGGTGAGGTGGGGTGCAAAAGAAAAGAACACGTGGAGATGGGGGAGTTGCAAACTCAGAAGCATGGTGGGAGCAGGTTTCGGGGAATGAACAGTAGCTCTCTCGGTGAACGTTAAATATACAGAGGACATGGGACGTGTCCCACTTCCACGGGCAAATCTACTACTTGTTGGTGTCCAGAATTCCTGCATTCAGACAAACCCTGAGCTTTTGCTCAGGTGATCATGTTCTTGTTCTTGTTCTTGTCGACTCGGAATGGTCCCTTTTCCTCATGCTCAAATGACACATACTCCGTGCGGGAAAAAAGAGCTCTTCAGCACCAGAACATCCGGGAGGAGGGTTGGCTATGACTGCTATGGCAGCTGAGTCCATGTGGGTCAGCTCTTCAGGTGCCTGAAGCCACTGTGCAACAGCGCTTGCAGGAGCGGTAGGTCAATACCGGGACGTCATGGGTAGGTTTGGCCACCCCGCCATGGACTCCATGGACACATGTCAAAATCCCTCTACACACAAAGGAGAAGCTTCCAAGAGAAAGGGCCACCTTCCAAAGAAAGACCTCACGATCATTCTGGGTTCCTTTCCGATACAGCTCGTGTTTCTCCCACATATACCGCTTGAAGCAACGGCCGAGCGAGCGAGCGAGCGAGCGAGCGAGAGAGACAGACAGCCTTGATGAGGAGATCCTGGAGCAAGGGCAACAGCAACGCCTTGATGTTGCCAGCCTACAGGAGTTCCTTGACAATTTGGACGTGGGCATTGGATCCAACAATGGAAAACTTGACTGTTGACATTCCGAATCCACAAGATTAACTTTTGGATATAAGTTAAGTGGGAACGAAGTTTTGACCAACCTGCAGGTTTGTCTCACAGTGACATGATTGCGCGACTCGACCCAATGGGTGACCGAGAGAGAATTAATGAACATCAATGACCAGCCTTACCCATCCTAAAAAAAACACGGTCCTTACCCTCCTTCAGGAAGCCAACATAAAAGCACAACAGGCGGGGATCCCATTTCCTAGTAACAAGAAGCTACTAGGGGGGCTCCTGGCATCGCTACTAGCAGCGGTCAGATGCTACGAACGGGGCTCTAGTGGCCTTACTACTAGGAGCGGTCGGAAGCTATTCGTAACAACCATTCAACTCAACCCGTCCAACCCGACCACTTTGCAGCTTCGTGGTGCGCCGAGGCTCCAACGGCTCTTGACCACGGTGGCCTCTGGGCTGTCCCTTGGAGAGCTCGGTGATGACAGGACTCCAGGGACCCCGGGAGTCCCAAGGCATAGAATCCCTGGAATCCAGAAGGCCATATGGCCCCACAACTGCTGGTTCAGTTGTGGTTCATGTTGAGGTTCTGATGTTGGCACCAAGATTCATGAAGCCACACTAGTTGGCTTCTAGTCACTGAGTCCCGTGATCCCGGCGCTTTTCCCCAACCTGCATTTGCGAGTACCATGTGTGATCGACCGATCGACCACTACAGAGGTGGATGGAGATTTCCCCAAACCCACAGATCAAAGCTTCAATAGCCCTTGCGTCCAAAACCCCAACTTTCAACCAACTGCTCAGGACTCTTCCAGCAAATCCGTTTCATTCTCTTTGATCTCATCCTCTGGTTGTGATGACATATGATGACCAACGAGTCCTCCTCTGCCTTGGCCTCGCTCCAGCGAGGTCGCCCAAGGCCACCGAGGCGCTGTCGCCGTCGCCGCTGTCGCCGCGGAGCGAGGCCTCGCTGAAGGAGCGGAGAAAGAGCGGCGGCGGTTCAGGCAGCTGAACGAGGTATGGAGGATCTCGAGGGATCGAATGATGTCAGGTTTGGAAGGCTTTGTTTGGGTTTCGAAGGCTTCATCTCCTGGCATCTCGCCGGAGTCACGGGTTGCCACGAGAGTGAAGAGCCAGGGAGAGAGAGCGAAGAGCCAAGACGGAGCCGCTGCGGGTCACATGCGACGGAGTCAACCACGATACCATGTAATGCAATGAGATGTAAATAGTAAGAACAGAGGCACCTTTAAGAGGTCTTCCTCATCGTCAGGATACATTTGCGACCCAAGTATATAGTGATCCCCAAATAGATAGTGGCACGGTTTCCAACATTTCCTACGTGGGGATCTACGAACTTCTATCTATTTGGGGGTCTATATTATAGCTTGTGGATGGCTTAAATCATAGTCTTACATTGATCTATAAGAAATTCTATATGTATACATAGAGGTATAGGGTGACGGCCTCAGCAGTTGTTCCGAACCTCAGGAGTTGACGAAGGCGTAGAGCTTCTTTCAGAGGTTTGATACCCTTGTTGCATTCTTCCCGGCCGTGATGTGGTAAGGACATACAGTTGATGGACAAGCGATGAAAGAACAGTCAGTGGGGTTTTAATGACAAGAGGTGATCTGTTACTAATCAGCCATGGCAACTGCACTGTTGGAATTGCTGTCTTGGGAATCCCAGGGTGGTGCAATGGGACAAACGCCCATCAAAGGTTGCCAGGAAAGGCTCCACGAACCGCTCACGCAACACTGGAACGCTACTAGGGCTCCTGGCCGTACTACTAGTAACAAGAAGCTACTAGGGGCAAAGGGCATCGCTACTAGGAGCGGTCGGACGCAATTGCTTTTGGCCCATTGGCCTCAGGAGCGGTCGCTCTTCTGCCCTCAGCAGTCCACGAGCCCAAGCCCGGGCACGCGGCAGAAGCTGCCAGAGCATCATGGACCGCCCTTGTTGGTGCCCAGGTCCACTCGGTCCAAAGGGACACAGAGACAGACGGAATGAGACGTTTTGAGTCGCTTCTCAGAGTCAGCTCTTCAGAAAGAGGAACAAGAAGCTACTAGGTGTTGGAGGCCATTCCTACTAGTAGCTGCTTGTTACTAGTAGGAATGGCCTCCAACCTAATAGCGATGGCCTCCACCTAGTAGCTTCTTGCACGCTAGAAATCTTACTTTTGGACGATGACTTTGAGAGTCTCTCGTGTGGTCAACATATCCAACATGCCTGACACGCAGAACGGCCCCCCCTCAAGGCACCACCACTACCAGGGGAGCCAATGAGCATCCATTGAGAGTCAGAGTCTTTCCTGTTTCTCTGCCCACCCATGCCACTGAGCATAGCCACTTATTTCAGACTACCTTTGGTGGCTGTGCACCCGCAGCACCTTAAGGGCTGTGTACCCAAAAAATGCAGCTTTAAACCCAGCAGCTGCTGGTGCCGTCTGATCCCAGCGCCTCCGCTAGGCAGCAGGACTTGCCGCCACGGCACCCGCCAGCCTTGCAGGTCGAGACTGGGTCAATGCGAGGGTTCAAGGGATTTTTGGATCCAACATGCAAGAAACGGGGTCTGCCAGGTATTCATCTATATGCATCTCACTAATAGGGGTCCTCATAGTATCCACACCACACCACGGGTGAGAAAAGCCTTCCGCGCGGAACTTCCATGCGGAACTCAGGGCCCACTGAGCGCGCATCCGGCCACCGGCCCCCAGAGCCGGAGCCCGCGCAGCGCGACGCCGCCGGAGCGGCCGAGCACGCCGGTGGTGCCACACCGGGTAGCTGAGACTGATGGGGGTCGAGAAGGATGGACGCTGGTGGGTTGGTGGAAGCTGTTCTTGTGCAGAACTTCTGAACGTTTGTGGGTTTGTTGGAGGTTTTGTTGGAGGTCTCGCCTCAGGGTTGTGGCACACGCTTGTGTGGGATCTCGATTGGAGATTTGGGAAATGGATAGTAATGGATGGGAGCAGACCCAGAAACAAACTCAAACGCTGAGATAAGAGCACCCAGGATGGACCCGGATTGGAGCACCCCAACAGCCCAAGCACCCAATCAATCAGCAGTAGGACAGGCCAATTCCTGTAAACACCATGTGATGTCGGGTCACCTTGCGGTTCCAATCAGATTGACTTTCACCAGTTTCTGCCAAGTCTTGCCGTTATCTCTCCCACCGAGTCCGCCGAGCTTAGAGAACCGAGTCCGCCGAGGCTCTGGGACGCGAGGCCAAACTCTGCTCGGACGTCCTGGGAGGCGCGGCGCGGCGCGGACGGACTCGGCACGTCCGGACGGACTCGCTGGTGCGGTCGTGGACGTCCACCGAACAGCGGGAGGAAGTGGACGTGCCACACAGCGGGAGACGCTTTCGACGACCACAAAAAACCCAACGAGCTTTTTTGTCTAGGGGAAACTACCGGCTGAAGCACTGGGAGAGGGGAAAGAAGAAGTTGGGTTTCATTCCACATGGTGAAGTGCGTGCCCCCGCAGTCATGAACAACGGAAGTGCATATTCCCTACATTTCAGCGAAACATGCCCTAGAATCCACGGCGTGTACATTTCTTTTCTCTCTACAGAGTCGTTGTCGTTGTGCCCTGCATGGCTTTTGGGTCGTCTGGTAGCCACCCTGTCACGGACAGACACGGTCGTCTCGAGCGGATCTTCAGGGCCCCGGGGCGAGACGACTTCGCTAGGTGGGGAGGGGACCGGGGAGAAGGCTCCGTGCCCCACCCCCAATTGCGGAGATGATGGTTTGCTTGATGTGGCGGATGCCAAGAATGCAGACAGCAAGAATGAGAACCGACAGATGTCAACTCCATCGACCAAAAGTGGTTCTTGCCAAAAACCCTGCATTATTATTGATTGAGATTTCCCCCCAAACGCAGCAGCACAACAGGCGAGTGCGAGTCTTTCAAGTGGTTGGAGTGGAGGTTTGGGAGAGTTGCTGCTTGGGATTCCGTAGGAAAACTAACCTCATACTTTGGAACATCATGACTAAACTAAACCAAGAACCCGCCAAAGGATGTGCACTCCCCCACCCAACATAGCAACCCCAAGAGGTTTGGAAGACGATCTTCGTCACTTGTGGGCAGGGACGAGGTGAGCTTCTTTCGGCAGTTCTGGGACCGCAGCAGACTGACGGTTCTTCGGTCCGTCCTTCGACCTCGTGTCCCGAAGAAGACAGCTCTTCGGTCGCCGTCGCAGCTCCCTCACAGATTCTTCAATGGCCGAAATATGAAGAACCCTCGTGGCAACCCGTGGCCACCCTCAACCAAGTTCGTTGTTTTGGCAACCCGTGCGACTTACCTAAGTCGACGAAGTCGAATGACTTCACGCACCGCTCGATCAAGAACATGGAACTTTGGGGGAAGGAGAGGTCTGGTGGAGAAGATCAGCCAGCAAGTTCAGTTGTGTCCATCTATACACAATCTACGATCTAAAAGTGCCCTCGTCACGACTTTTGTGGCATGCAGGAGGTTTCCATGAAATCTTGTCCAGCTTGTTTTGCTTTTCTCCATTTTAATAGTCGAACAGCTATCGTTCTTCTTGACCTCGACCAGGTGGACCTGTGGATGAGCGACTGTCCAGTTCAGGCCTGGATGGTGTTGACGGAAGCCTTGGATCCGGGTGAAGTTAACCTTCACAACCACCCCATATGAGGATTGGACAACATCATACAACAATGGTTTGGGTCGGCCCGCTGGTCGGCTCAGAATAGAAAGAGGAAGGGGGGGGTCAAATTTCTCTGCAGAAGCTTCGCAGCAGCGTGTGTCAGGCGTGGCATAGACAAGGGAGCCCATGTAGGTGTGTTTGGACAACACCAACATGGACAGTAGAGAGCATGGAGTTCGCTGTGACAGTGGTTGAGGTCTGCAGCCCCCTGATGTGGAGAGACAAAGACTTTCAGGTTCGGTGATGTTCGGTGTGAACTTCTCTTGCAAAATCCATGAAGTCAGCACAGTGCCTGCAATTTAGCAGGTGTGCCTTCCGAAATGACATCTCAGACATCATCAGGTTGGCGTCGGAGATTGTCTTCTTTGTGTGGTTTGTGAAGGGTTCTTCATTTTTTGGAGCTTTGTCTGGCTATGTCCTTGGTACTTCTTGCTAGCTGACGTTTCGCAGCAGCGTGTATCAGGCCTTGCGTCAACAACACTGGTAGAGACAATCCATTGATGGGCACCATAGCTGTTTGCCTGGCCTAGAATTATCGTTGGTTGTTGAATGCTTAGCATGACAGGTCTACAGCCTGCTCTCCTTGAGCAACAGAGACTTTCAGGTCTGGCACACCCTTGGTTGTTCATTGGAAGTTGGAAGGACACATGCACTTCTTTGGTTTGTGTCGTTTGTGAACAAATGCACACGCTGGCAGGTGTGCAACAGGATCTGCCATCGCAGCGGCTGTCAGGTTCCAATATTAGTTGTGCGAAGAGCAGGCATTTGACTTGTATTGTACTTCTTGATTTTGCAGGTGCACCGGCACTTGATGTTGAGCGGCAGCGACTATCAGGCGGACGCATTGTCAAGAAGATTCAGCAGATGCGTTTGTTTGTGCTCCAGCAACTGTCCTTGGATTTCCTTTGGCCACTAAATAGTTCATTCAGGGCTCATCACTCTGCGCAGGAGTGAGTGTTCTTTTCCTTGTCTATTTTTCGTCCAACCTTGTTTTTGCAATGCTTGTGACTATTTTGATTCGTAGGTGTTCCACCTGCAGAAGTTTCGCAGCAGCGTGTGTCAGGCGTGGCATAGACAAGGGAGGACATGTTATATAGGTGTGTTTGGACAACACCAACATGGACAGTAGAGAGCATGGATGTTCGCAGTGACAGCAGTTGAGGTCTGCAGCCCCCTGATGTGGAGAGACAGAGACTTTCAGGTTCGGTGATGTTCGGTGTGAACTTCTTTTGCAAAATCCATGAAGTCAGCACAGTGCCTGCGATTTAGCAGGTGTGCCTGCCGAAATGGCGTCCCAGAGATTGTCAGGTTGGCATCAGAGCATGTTTTTCCTTTGTGTTCGTTTTT